TTGAACTGACATGCCATGACAGAACGCCTCCAAGAACGCTGGTGAGATGATCCAGAAGTACCAGATTCTCTTCAACCGTACCCGTCAAGCCGTCATTACCGGAGAGTTGGTTGAGATTATCACTGGTGCCACTGCCTCCGAGGACATGTAAAGCGGGTTTTTTGGCCAAAAAAGCGCGCGCATCAGATAGAGATGATTATTGCCTCTCTTCCCTTTGTATCAAGCTACCAAGGGCGGCTAGTTTAGCCCTCAGTGTACCAAATCCTCGCGAATACATCCTGATCTAGAATATGGATCGGTTATTTTCATCTATCTTAAACCCGAGTCTGAGAAATCTGTGCCGTTTGATAAGCGCGTTGCCATTTATTGTTTTGCACACTCTTTAACGAGGGTGCCTTTATGTACGGGAGCAACAGTAATTACTGTGCAGAACGTTTAAAAAGGCAGGTCTACTACAACCTTTTCAAGGTTCCAACGAGAGCAAATATGACATGTACGGAGGGGGGGTATGCAGAACTCCTCGACACCGTGAACGAGAAATAAAAATAGACTCCCACCACCACAGACGAGCCCCCCGAATGCACCCTTCCTTGCCCTCCATGCAAATCCGTTTAGAAAACAACAGCCAACGGCCTAAACCCTCACTTAATAGAAAATGAATACCTCATCATACCACCCGCGCCTCGTCAGGTAAAACAACCCCGTCAAAACTCCATCTCGCTGCCGTCACTTTCGGCGTAGCTGACATGCTTCGTCCTGCGGTACTTTTGCGCATTAATCTCCCTTTGCCGCGCCGTAGCAGCACTGTAACTATTCCCACCGCCGCTACCGCTCCCTCCTCCTCCTCCGTTCTGCTGGAGCGGCACGTACGGGTGCTCCCGGTGATACGCGCTCATGGTCTCGACGTACTCTTTATCCCACCGCGCCGACGTCTCCTCGTATTGCTTTACGGCCTCGGCGTACGCCGTCTTCTGTGCGGCGGCCTCGTCCTCGAATGGCTTCTTCTCTTCTACGGAGGCGGCCCGCCACATCTTGGACGTCATGACGCGCACCTCGTTCGGCGCCGTCTTCTTCTTGTTGCCGTTGCCGCTGCTGGCCGCCGCCGCGCGCTCCTCCTCGCACCGCGTGCGCGCGACCTCGAAGAAGGCCCGGCTGTAGAGGAGGTAGGCGTTGGCGGCTACCTTGGCCGGGCGTGCGGGCCGCTCGCCGATTTTGGCTTTGGTGTGTTCCCAGGCGGAGAGCTCGTAGGCTTCCAGGCGGATTTGTTCCGGGTCCTTGGGTCCCTCCATTTCTTTACGCTTGTTGGACACGTTGTTTCCTTTCCTTCGGACAAGGGGTGTCGGGACCTCTATCGGGCCGAGCATCGACTCGAGAACCTCTGACGCGGCGCGGAGTCCTGAGAGGTAGGCTCCATGGACGGTAGCCGGGTGGGTGCCGATTGTGTGTTCTCCAGCGAAGAAGAGGTTGCCGATGGGGCGCGACATGGCGTCGTAGTCGTCCGGGTGCATCTCCGGTCCGGCTGAGGAGTAGCTTCCTCTCGCGAACCTGTCCGAGGCCCAGCGGGTGACTACGGACTCGGCGGGGTACGGCACACCGGGGCCGAAGACGCTGCGTAGGACCTCTGTCGCCTCGGCGATGAGGTCCTCGTTACTGCTGTGCTCCGTATCAAACCCGGCATCACCGGCCATCAGGGCCACGAGGCACGGTATGCCGGTGGTCTGCGTGACGTTGAACCACTGGAATAAGCGGCCTCGTGAAGAGCCGTAGTCGCTTTGGTTTAGGCTGTGGCGGTTCGGAGCGTCTCGAAGAACGCCAAAGATGTGCCTTTGCGTATCCCAGAATGGTTGATCATAAACGAGTACAAGCTTGTTGAGCACTCCGTACCCTATACGAGTGACTGCTTCCGTCTTCCACTCGGGCAATGGCGGGTCGAACGCGACGTTGCCGTGTTTCAAGACTCCTAGAGGTATCGTCGAGACGACGTAGTCTGCGTCGATGGACGTCCCGTCCTCACACTCAATCGAGGCAAGCCCGTTACTCTGTGGCTGGTACGTGATCTTCTTGACCGCGGATTTCGGGCGGACGTCGAGAGGAGTGGGACAGTGCATGAGGCCTCTGGGAACGCTTTGGTAGCCACCGACGATCATGGTGTGCTTGCCTTCCCACTCATTGCCAGCGTCAATGTCCCAGCCTCCAAGACTGAGATTATGAAGATTTGTAGCGTTACTGTATTCCAGATTCGCAACGTGCCAGTTGATGAGACGGTGATCTTGGGCAGTCAGGTCGACAATGTTGCGGTATTGAAGGACGGCTTCGTCCATGACCGAACCGAGCGTGGCCGCTGGCAGAGTAACAGCCTCGTTCAGATCGATATTGGCGTCGTTTGCCAAACCGGTCTTCAACGTCCACCCCATTGCCTGGGCTTTCTCGGTTGCCTTGAGTACACCTGGTGTGCCAGGCTGAGTGTGGACGCGGCCAGTGAGCTTATCTGACGAGACCGGCACCAGGTTTACTCGTTCGGGGACATTTTGTTGCGAAACGGGCGGTGCATGTGGGAGAGCCGCCACCGCTTCCTCAGCTTGGTGAATTGTCCTGTGGCCGTCACTCACGGCGTCTCGCGCCTCGTCGATCAAGTCTCGATTGCCCTCGATAAGCTTGGCGGGCTGTGACTTGAACTTGTATTCGCTGACGCGATCTAAGCAGTCATTGTAGAGCCTCTCTACGAGCTGGTCCCTTGCAAAATCCACCGGCTTGCCATTGGAATCGTAAATTGTCGTTTCCGATCTCAGGGCACGGTATGGGAGGCACAATTGCGCACGCACGAGAACGTTCATCGGGTTGCCGCGTTCGAAGCCAGTGATGATCATGCCGCCCATTTCGGCGGTGAACCGTTCCCCGTCAAAATCGGGCAGTGGTATTGTCGGTTTTGTTTTGAACTCCCTCGAGTAGACCCTTCCACCCACTCGCCCACGCCCTTCCAGTACGACAATTTCAGGCACTGGTTCTCCGAGCGCCCGGAAACGATCCTCATACTGCCGTATTAAGCCGTCCAAATGTCTGGCGCAGCCCAAGCCGGACATACCAGCACCGATGATCACAATCCTTTTCTTGTTAAGCGGGACTTCTGCCTCTACGTCTTCTTCTTCTTGTCGATCGTTCGTCGCTGGAAACTCTACACAGCCAAAGTTGATATACCCGCGTCGTAACAGCCAATCGTAACATATACTTGCGACGTCAACCCATCTGGCACCAGCGCAACCAACCGCTTCGTTCCTTGTCACTGCAACACGTGGGTTATTGTACCAGAGCCGGAGGATGCCGTTCCTGATATTCAGATACGTGGTGACTTGAACATGGCTGATGTGTTGTCGCAGCATCTGATATTCTTCCTGGTGCAGGGCATACGGGTTTAGTCTCGATGACTCGGCTGCTTCTATGCATTGCCTTGCATATTCATAGCTTGATAAATTCGAGGGTATGGACGACTTCGGCTTCACGTTGAAGGTCTGTCGCAATGCCTCGCGTACCGGAGGGGTCTCTGCTGACGGTATAGACTCTTCCGTATGCCCGTCCAGTTCAACAGGGGTCGTTGCCTTACTAGACACCGACGGCGGGACCGATGAAAGCTCAGACTGGTCGTGATCAGACAAATTGGTCATCGGCGACTCGAAAGATTCGTGAGGGGTATCGTGTGACTGGATGCGGAGGGTCTCTAACGGAGCAGCCGCGTCCTCGGGCATTGGTGAACTGATCGATGGTCAGCTAAACTCGATCTCGAGCCTCCCAGCATTCATCTGATGAAGCCAGGATACCATCGTGAAAAGACGCCGTAGTGTATCACCTACTCAGGGTCCGATAATGTGCCGGAAGGATGTTCCGCCTCATCCAGGCTTGAGTCATCCAGGTCCATGTCCATGTCTTCTGTCCACACGACGATTTCCGGGGCAATTTCTGAAATTGCTTCTGATGAGATTCGACTTGACGGCGTTGGTGTCGTCGATTCTGATAAGTGTGAAGTCGATATCCGACTCAGCATCGCACTGGCCCTCGAAGGCGTGAAGTCTGATATATGTGAGGCCCGATCCGGAAAATCCATCAATGATCCCTTCCCAAACCCCGGTTCCTGCTTAACCCGAGATCTCGGACTTGATCTCATATTTCAGTCGTCGACACGGATTGAACTCGAGTATGAAAGATGGATATATATGTTGGCGCAGGCGGATGGTCGGTGATGATGAAATCTGCTCAGTCTGAGTCCCGACCAGGGTGTTATATGGCGGGTCTAGTCCCGAGTCGATAACATGTTACGATATCTCAGGTAGACCCGGATAGTCTCGCTGTATAAGCCTGGTCAGCTGATTTAAGTTCTCAGGCTCACAGGACTTGATATAAGACGAAGCAATTGCAATGTACTTACCTTTTGACTGCGGAGACGCCACTTGCCCCAGCTACAGGGCACTGTCCCGTGTTCGGTGCTTGATTGAGCCGTCCCGATGCAGGTCAAGTCGCGGTATACCGAAAAGGCACTAGGTGAGTTGCAAACAACTCAGTCTATTGTTTGAGACAAGTATGTTGAGAAATCAAAAGTAACCCGGTCATAAAAGGAAGTCGTCAGGTACATGACCCGTTGAAATCGCTAAGTTCGGCATTGGACATGAGGAGCTCAAGCGTTCGAGACAAAAAAGGTGGGTCACGTGATGGGCCTTTGCTCCCGTCAGTCGCAAGCCACCCGACCTGACACAGTGCTATATGGGCTGACTGCAGGCCCGAGCCAAAACCGGCAACACCACTGAAGTTCAGGAAGGCACTGACTCGAGGGGCCAGACTGCCGGCTAGCAACACCCAATATTCACGACGAGCAATGATGATTGCTTCTAGTTGGGAAACACTTCTCCACGAGAAGCTCATTATCTGTATGTTGGTCGTATCTTCAAATGCCGAATACGGCATTCCTGTCTCTCAGCTCTACCAGTCTTCCACCACAAACCCTGCGCCCTTTCTCATGCAGTTGGGCTCACCGGCTTGACGTTATCTCTTGCAAACGAATCCTTCTCAATTGCCGCATCCATCATTCGGTCTCCGCTAATGATCGATGTTGTGCAGATGACGATGTTTCTCCGAGCTACGAATGATACAGATTAGTTTGGCAATGCTTCACGAGATAAGTTCAATATGGGTAAATACCTTCTTCCTGCTTTGCAATGAACCGCAAAGCAGCGATTTCGGTGAATGTTATACCTCCGACGAACACCACAAATACCGTTTGCTTCTCTGTGCCTCCCGAAAGCAACGCTCGAGCTTTGACGGCCTTCTCCTCACCCTTTTGCAGCTCGTAGAATGTCTGCCCGCGGACGTGCTTTACGGCCTCGTCGAAGCCGTGCCAGCCCTGAGCCGCGGACGCTCCTGTCGCACCACTTGCGCCATTGCCTCTGGTGACTTTGAGCAGATACTGCTTTTGCAGCACACATTGTACAAGACGGATCGACAGTGGCGCATACCCGCTGTATACATAGGCGATGTCGTTTGGATCGTCTTCCTGAACTTCATCGACGATGAGACGCAGAAGTTTGCGGAGATACGTGTAGTTCGTCTTTGTCCCTGTTGTGTTGCCACCAGAGCCAGTCATCGGGATCATTTCTGCCAATGGAGAAGAGCGCGACAAGAATAATTGAAGCTTCTCGAGGTTATTAAGCGTGAGGATGTGCTGATAGCCGTAGCCCTCGAGGATAAGTCGTCGGAACTGGTCGAATTCCTTCGGTTTGATGCCGCCTGATATGCATGAGTAAATGCAAAGCAGCCTCAGCACTTCTGGTAACGGTGTGTCGCGGGCGATTAATTCCTCGATGGCTTCGAATTGTGAGGAAGGGTCCGCGCCAGCAGCTAGATTCTGCTGAGCTTCCAAGAGACCTTTGAACTGGTCTGTCCGTGTGTACTTCATGACCTCCTCTGCTAGACCTGTATGTATGCGCAGGCTTTGCTGCTCCGCTTGATATCCGGGCAGCTTACTGACAAAGTCCTTGAGCTCAGCGATGGATTTGTGGCTGTTTCGTCCTTCGTAGTCCTTTTGCAAATTCTGAAGTCGCCGAGCGACTTTGTTCAGCAAGCTACCGACAATGGCGAAATTTGTGTCGCGAAGTTGTTCGTATAATTTATCAGAGGAATCCAGCTGGATTTTGCGTTTCCTGGCTTGCGCGCTTGTCGCTGAGGATTGAGAAGGGGCACCGACAACTGTCGTATCAACTTCAGCTTGGTTGTTCTGGATGCCGAATACTTCGTCGATGAGTCCCTCGTAGGTCAGTTGAGTTAACAGAGGAGTGACAAAATCCACTTCGCGGTCGATTATTATAACGCTTTCGGTGAGTGTGCTTGGTGCCAAGCCACCTCGATTCGTCTCGTTCGCATCCTCGCCCGCAAGTATCTCTTGTCGCATTCGTGCTAGGAGCTCCGCAACTCGTTTTGCGTTGTCGCCTTTGCCGATGATTCGGGGAAACAAGCCGTGATTCTGTTGGATCTCCATCAATGCCTTGGCGAGCAGGAATGACGGAGTGACATCTTTCGAGAGATACAGGTCGCGGAAAGACTCATCCAACTCGAGGGAGAGAAGATCCTTCTCAAGCGGGAAGAAGTATAAAGGCAGTTCAGAGATGTTCACGTCGCCCAATACGCCGGCCTCCTCGAGCAACTTGTCGGAGACGAGTGTTCGTCGAGGCACCCAGAAGATGTGGAATTCATGGCCTGTTTGGCTCTCTCGCTGTAAGCGACGGATCTGCTCTGAGAGGTTGTTAGCATGAAGTGCCGCTCACCCAGTAGCATGGAGATCGGCTGCAAGAAGCCTCGCCACCAAGCACTGTCTTTCTCGGCAGACCACGGATGATGATCGCACGAGTAAGCCTAAGAAGCTTCGTAGAAATCCGATTGGAAGTGAAAGAGAATGTGAGATCCGGATAGTGAAGGGTGCTGACCTGCTATGGCTGACGCATGGCGAGCGCACTCGCCGCGGGCTATGAAGATGACATTTCGCTGGCTGGTGTCGGCGTTCTTGTTCTCGAGGAAGAAGAACTTGTCTACGCCGTATTCCTGGAGAGTAGCGACCTTGACGATGGTACTGATCGGGCCCGCTAAGCTGCGCTCAAGAATGAGGTTCTTCTTCCCCCGGACCTGGAAACGCCGAGGTTAGCTCACGAAGAACAGGCAGCCGGGGCGAAATGCCTTACTTACAGCCTCGAGCAGGTAGAGGAGGTCCTTGCGCGCTTTGTCCTTTATCTGGTCCGTATTGAAGCCAGCTCGAGGAGCCATTTTCAGTTCTCCATGCAACTGGCACCGGTTGTTGTTTCGTGGAGCGCAGATTGACCGCTGCTGGGCGAGGTGACGTGGTCGGGGTAAGGTGAGGTAGGTAGATGGAACGGTGACGGAGAGCTGTGGTCGCAAAGCACCTGGAGCTATCGGGTTGAAAGATTAGATTGGCTACCTCAGTACGGGAATCTTGCACAGAGAGCATTTGCGTCAGCGGGGCCAGGCCACCAGGGTGATTTAAGTGCTACGCTACCTCACAGTGCAGGTGCTCTTTCGGGGAATTCCATGCCGGATCAGTGGGGGCCAGTCACTGTGTCCGGCCCGCTATCCAATCCGCCAGGTCGATGAATGTCTCAACCTGGAAATGTTTCCAGAAACAATGCTTCGCGATCGTTGGTCGCGACGGTTTATTCTGCAGACTTGCAGCATGAAAGCTCTAGAATATGATCTACTTGCTAACATGATGCGCAGTCGAGGTCACCTAGGATGTATACCTTACATGGCCAAAAAAAAAAGCATGGTCCGCTGATCCTACCAAACATCAACATGGGTGTCAATACCGTCCTCTACGGATGCGATCCCGCTCGTGACACAATTTTCCCGGCTGATCTCTTCGAGATATCACTCCACGAAAGCTGACGAGGGCCAAAATCGCCTTAGTCACCTCATCTTCTCCCCCTCAGCCGAGCACCAGCTCCTGAACACTCCGCTTGTCCTGGGGTCCCCTTCTGTATGCCGAAATCCGATACAACGCCATACCCAACCCTGCCGCGCAAATGTCTTGTGTTGTTCAAACGGTGTTATCGTGATAGTAGAAGTCAATATCTCTAGGGCGCAAGCGATTGCTCCGAACGAACTCGTCATCTCCCGCCGGCCGCTCGTTCTTTTCGTTGCCTGTTAACATGCTCTGTATACTCATGCAGACGCTCTCGACGTTCTGTACGGGACTCCAGCCTTGGCTGCCGAGTAAATCGAGACAGATGATGCCATTGGAGTAGATATGAGGGTGCATGGGAATCGGTCGCTCGGTGGTCTTGACGAAGGTGACCTCTGGGGGTTCTATAGACCAGATTATGTTACTTGGGGAGGTACTGAGGAGCTGGTATGCGCTGAGAGGCATACCTATGGGATATTGTTGGGAGAACTTGAATTTCAGCCTGTAAACCTGGTCTTTATACAGCGGGTTGTCGTCCAAGACTTTGATGTCCATGATCCATTCTTCGAAGTTGTCGGCCGAGATGAGCTCGATACCGGGAGGCAGGCCAGAGTTGAGCTGTGAGAGTTAGGAAGATTCCTGAGGCGAGCGCGCGCAATGCGACAAGGTGCAAATGGATCGATCGCGGGACGGACAGGTTGAGGTAGCGAGCTGGGCGTGAGGTTACGAACCTTGGACAACTCTTTGGCCAGCCGCTTGGAAGCAAAGCTGGAAGCCATTTTGAAGGGCGATCGAATGGGCTGGAGGAGGATGAAGCCCAGGCGAAAGTGGCTCGACGAAGGAAAAGGGAGAAGTTGAGCGAAGGAGAAGTTGTCAGTCGGCGGCTCGAGGAGCAGCCCAGGCAAGGCAGGCGGGTTGCGGCTTGCTGAGGGGCTTGTTGGTCGCTTGGAGGGGCTGCCCAGAGAGGAGGACCCCACGAATTGGTGGTTCCTGCCGAGAACAGCAGCCAAAGTGTCCAGGAATGTGGGAAGCAGCCGATGCGGGAGCCAAATCCCAGGGTCTAAACCTGGGGGTATTAAAGAAAGCCGGATGCAAATCAAAGAGGACGGCAAAGCAAATACGCGCCCAACAATGAGAGTGAACGAGGCAAGTGTGCAGCAACGTCAGTTGTTTGGTCGGTTTAACAATGTTGAGACACGCGGGCGTGTTGGAGACGGTCCACGAGTTACAGGCGTGGACGGTGGCACTTAGCTCTTTACGTAGCACGTAGCACTCAGGTGCTCTATAGGTTGTTTACTGTATGAAGTACCTGTGTACTGCGTACACAGATTAAAGTACTGTACTGGAAAGCTGGAACACCTTACCTAAGGCTTTCAAGGTCCAAATGACGCCGCGGGGGAGGATTGGCGGCGGCTCAATGCATCTTGAACCGATGCGAATGCGCGTGCTGTAACCCACCTAGTCGCAGGCCCGGTGGATCCACTTTTCTCAATGCCAGTGACAGCCCAAAAAGCATTGCATCTTTGAAGAGCAAGAGCAAGAGCGGCCAGGGACAGCCTACCTACAGGTACCTTGCCTTAGGTACATATTCGTTGTGTAAGGCAGTCCTGTTATCAATAGCCTCTCATAACTGGGCACCTATACTGAATTCTTTGCCATCAATCTTCTTAGCCCTCAAGAATAGGTAGGTATATGTATCAACATCAAGACAGCAAGGCGCTGCAATGATAGATGAGCATGCACTTCCGTCTAGACGTAGTCATATGTCACGCGCCATTTCTGAGGATATTGCGGTAGAGTCTGCCAAATATATGTGCTTCTGGAATGTCACACATGTCTCTACCTTAGCCAGCAAACTGCTTTCTGTCTGAATCATTTCCCTGCTTGAGGGCCGACGTTCAACCACGCCAGACTCAAACACCCAAATTGTCATTGATGACGTCTGCTGGCGAAAACACTTCATGGGCCAGGCTAGGAGGATACATGCAGAGTATAGATCAGGCTTTGCTGAGCAACACTGCAACTCTGATCTATGGATGTCTAAATATTGACAGGAGGGAGCCATCGACACTGCAGCTGTCGACTAATCGGATACCATACCCAGCATGCCTCGTTCACTTAAGATCGAAGATATGGGATCATCTACCTCTGAAGATGCGGTTGCAAGCAGGTCGAATCGGAGGTTAAGCCTTACGACCCAGCAAACCCAATGAATTGGAGCCTGGAAGTAAGAGTCAATGCCTGTCATAGGCGCACGAGGGTGACAGGGCAGCCAGCAGATAGGTGCAAGGTGGAAAGAGTGGCCTCCTCAGCCACACTTCGGCGGCTCCCTCATCCTCCGATGTGTGCCTCCATTGCCTCCATTGCCTCCACAGCTCCAGTCGTTTTGATCGTTCAGGATACGGCGGTCCACTCCAAGACGCCCAGGACCCTTGTCCATCATCGTTAGTGCTCGTGGATGCCGTCGCTCATCCACGGCCATGTCCGTGCTCTCCCTCTTCTTCTGCGGCCTGCCCCTCATTTCTCTGCGGCTGAGCATCCTTTTCAATTCTTACCAGCCCACAAGGCTCACTCCAGCCTGCCATGACCCCTGAATCTTGTTCCCGGTGATGCCACAACCGCCTTTTTCGTTTTTCTGTGCACATGCTGGAGCTGTACAGCCTGAAGGTTAGGTTAGGTTGCCTCCAGGAGGTATGCTGTGTAGTGACTTTACCTTGGTACCTTTACCTGCCCCCTACAGATAGGCTTTACAGATAGACGCAGCACATGAATATATGTATTCAAGAGCCATTCACCCCCAGACCCGGGGACAAGAAGTACCTATTCTCATTCTACCAACAGTTGCAAGGTGCTTGATCCCAAGAGTACCTCTTACGCTCTTACTTCCCGCTTTACCCCACCTCCCCCTCAACCCAAGCACCAAGAGCTACCAGCACCCCGACGACCCCCCTCCCGAATCCCGTCCAGTCTACCTGGGAAGTCTCCATCAGCAACCGCTGCTTCTCTGTCCTGTCCAGGGTCGAGCCTTCTTTCTGCTCGATTTTTCTACTCCAGACCTACGCCAGCCTCAAGCTCTCCCTCATAAACGTCGTCTGCACTCCCACCGCTGACGCCCGCCTCTTCTCGGTCCCATCATCCCCAAGGCTGTGTCTGTCCGATCATTCCACACACACAACTCTCGCTGCGACCGATAACCCCGCCTCAAAAATGAGTTGTAAGTTCTTGGATCGAACTGCTCTTCTGTGATCTTGCCAGGTCGTTGTCCTGCTCTGCCGTGATTGCGAACATGCTACCTCGCGCAACACTTCTCCAGTCCTACTGCTCCCAATCCACAATCAATGCTGACCGCACGCTCGCCCATAGTCTCCAATATGCTCAGCAGGCTCCAGGGCCAACCCGAGAGCTACGATAAGAAGTACGAACAATTCCAGACCAATATCTAGATACCATATCCTGACGTCCTCTCTACAGGGCTAAATATCGCTTCGGTCGCACTCTCGGAGCTGGAACTTACGGTATCGTCCGTGAGGCTGACGGTCCTACTGGCAAGTGCGCCGTCAAGATTATTCTCAAGAAGAATGTGAAGGGCAACGAGAGAATGGTCTACGACGAGCTGGACATGCTCCAGCGTCTGAAGCACCCTCACATTGTCAAGTTCGTTGACTGGTTTGAGTCGCGTGTGAGCAACCCTCCGCTGCGAAGCCATGCCCGGACTGTCAAAACTGACAACTATCTTATAGGACAAGTACTACATCGTCACTGAACTAGCTACTGGCGGAGAGCTGTTCGATCGTATTTGCGAGCAGGGCAAGTTCACGGAGAAGGATGCTTCGCAAACCATCAAGCAGGTCCTCGAAGCCGTCAACTACTTGCACCAGAACAACGTCGTACACAGAGGCAAGTTTTGCCATTATAACTTGGGTGCCCATTTCTTTCTAACTAGTAGATCAGACTTGAAGCCCGAGAACCTCCTGTACCTTACCAGAGATATGGAGTCCGATCTCGTCTTGGCCGATTTCGGTATCGCCAAGATGCTCGACCGCAAAGACGAAGTCCTCACAACCATGGCCGGTTCCTTCGGCTACGCAGCCCCTGAGGTCATGTTGAAGAAGGGCCATGGTAAGCCGGTAGACATGTGGTCCATGGGTGTCATCACATACACTCTGCTTTGCGGTTACTCTCCTTTCCGCTCGGAGAACCTCCAGGATCTTATCGATGAGTGCAGTAATGCTCAGGTCGTCTTCCACGAGCGTTACTGGAAGGATGTCAGCGATGATGCAAAGGACTTCATTTTGCATCTTCTGCAACCAGAGCCCGTCAAGCGCTGGTCGAGTGAAGTATGTACCAGCCCTGCACCAATGTCGACAAATAAGCACTGACAATGACAACAGGAAGCTCTCCACCACCCGTGGCTCAGCGGAGAGAATGCCACCGACCACAACTTGCTGCCCGAGATCAAGGCCTACATGGCCAAGGCCCGTCTTCGCCGCGGTATCGAGATGGTCAAGCTTGCCAACAGAATCGAGACGCTCAAGGCACAAGAAGAGGACACAGAGGACTCAGACTTCCCAGCCGACGCTATCAGCGCCGCAGACCAGTCCAAGCACGTTGGCGCACACGAAGTTGCCACTGGCGAGAAGCGCAGCCTTTCCAAGACGATCAAGGGCGCCATCTTCCGTGAGGTCGTCCTTGCCAAGGTCCGCGAGATGAAGCAGCAGCAGGACACACTCAAGGTGAAGGAGGATGCGGAGAAGGAGCACAGAAGACGCAGCTTTCAGGGATGAGAAGTGACGCACATCTCTGTATGGTGACCTGGGCGAGTCAGTCAGGACTCAGGAAGATGATACCACACGGGTTGGATGATACAACGGGCCACTGGTCGCGGCTCAGCAGCGGCTTTGAAGTTTTTTTAAGTTCTTACTGCTTTTCGTTGAGCACTCATTTCGTTTCAAGCCGAAGATACATGGCTAGATGAGCGCTATATGTTTGTTGCTTTGCCTGGGCGGGCGAGGGGGGACAGAAAAGCCGGGGACAGATATGACTTTGAGCAACACCCATCACTTCTTCCAGATTCGAATCTCTTCTTACGCATTACTACTTGATCTTTGGTGAATCTTGCATCCGTGGCATACAATATCTGAATGCTTTATGAAATGGCCATTCTTTGTCTCGAGCAATGAAAGTCTCGGTCGCCAGCCTCTGACATTGAGACTGGACTTTGGTAGAAGCAACGTATTCATGCTCTGCTACTTAAATGCATACACACAGGAAGTTCATCCCCTTCAACACAGTCTCCGTCATCAGCACAGCAGACGCCTTCCTGGGTCAGTTGGTCAGGTCAAATTGGGCTGGATGGGTGGGAATGGTTCAAGGTCAACAACAATCAAACACTGCCTATAGAGTACTCGACGATAGGCCTTCTTTCCCAAGTTCCCCGAGTTTGATTTCCTAGAATGGGCACGGAGAGATGTAGTCCTACCCAATAGTAAATTCTTTATTGAGGGCAAGCAAGGCCCTTTCGATGCTAGGAGCCGTTCGGGGTAGTAAATATACCCATCGACTTGACCACACAGTCAGACATGGCCATCATCAGGCTCGTGTACGTGTATCCTGCCCCTGACTGCATCTACCTCTCCTTACCCTCTTGGTCTTCAGGTTTTGTCTTTCATACGCAACTCTCGGAGGGGACGCAAACCCTGACACAGGGAGAGGGAGAGAGAGCGTTAGTAATCAGTCACGGCACATGAAAGACTTTGAACGAGGTATTATGATGTTTATCAAGATGGAACTTTGCTATTTGGCATTGCTGCTACTTGAAGTCGGGGAGAAGGGGGTGAGTCCGGGATAGACTTCTCCGCTGTTCCTTCCACCCCTGTGCTCTCTACTAATACTACTACTACTACTAATTGTATTGTTTTGGGTTCGTAACGAGTCGTTGTTGTGCTTGTACAAGGTATATCGAGAGAGAAGTCCGAAAAGACAGACCACCAATCAAGTGCGCCGTCCTGCCCTGAGATGCTGCCGAACGGGGGGTGGGAAATCCCCCTAGATGCTTTTTGTTTCGCCGTGAAATAAATGGACAAGATTGCTTCAAAGCATGGTACAGTAGAAGAAAGAGAGACCGGAGGTCGGTGGTATCATTGTAAACTGGAAACAGGTGGGGAAAAGTGCAAGATACGAGGAAAACGAGGGTTCGATCATCTGGAAGTGACGGTTCATTCCAACTCGGCGAGAACGCTCTCGCGAAGCGCCTCGTAACGGCCGATATCGAAGCGACGTCTTTGCCAGTTGTTCTGGCGCAGACGCTCAATACGGGCCTTGATGTCAAGATTACGCAGTTCATCGCTGAGCTCCGGGGTCGCTGCCCTGGCGGGCAGAGAGTGGCGTCCCGTATCGCTTTGCCGGGGTGCCGCGAGCTGCTCCTCGACGTTGGAAATGTGGACTGCGATCTGCGATCGTAGGCTGGAGAGCAAGCCGCAGTAGCGGTGGATGGAGCGCTCTTGAAGGAAGTCGAAGGCATCGCAGTCCTCGTTCAGGGGCTCGGGCGTTGTTGGCTTCGCAACCTCTTCCGCGGGCTCATCGGCAGGCTCGGGCTCCTCTTGGAGAACCGGGAGGTAGCGCGGGGGTTCAGGCTGTGGTGGGGCACAGAGAAAGTCGTCAAAGCCGAGAGTGGGAGAGTCGGGGCGGATGAACGGCTCTTCAGGAACGTCACAGAAGGTGACGCGCTTCTTTGGTGGCGGTTGGGTCGCGGAGAGCTTGTTCATGGCGTCCTCGACGGAGCACACGGACGGCGTGGGTGACGAGAAAGCGGTTGAATTGGTCCACGTCCGCGAGGATGCATGGGACGAAGTAGAGCTCGAAGGCGAATGCATACTTGAGGTCGCCGCTGAGGATGGGCGTGAGGAGCGAGCCATGGTCTCATCCGCCGCCTTGCTCAGTTCCGAGGCTCGGGTGTAATGTTCACGAGCTTGTTGGAGAAGCCGTGTCCGATACGGCGAGGCGCATTGCAAAGGCCGGGAGAGCATGTCAAAAGAGCTGGCGGCGTAGAAGTGAAGATAGATGAGATAAGCCGGCTCAACGTTTGCCTATTGACTCGGTCAGTGCAATCCCAAGCTACTTCAGATGAATGCGACTTACAGATTCCTTAATATTGTCTAGGATCTCGCAACAACGCAAAGAGCATGGTCGGTACTTGCGGTTGATATACTGACGCTTGACCTCAGAGACAGCCTTGCTCCATTCAGCAGATGTATAAGGTAGAACGGGGAGCGGTGCCGGCTGCGATGCAGACCGCTTGTGCACTCGAGCCTTAGGAGGTCCGACTGAACTGGTGGCCATAGTTGGTGACGTTGCCGCAGGCTGTGGTGTTGTGATGGGGGCGCTGGGCGACGGTGCTCTGTTGATAGGAAAAATAACGCTGCCACGGGAGCCGGCGGCAGCGGGCTTGAGGAGGAGAGGTATTAAACCGCCCATTGCGATAGATTTAGAGTGCTTGCGCGCGTGAAGAGAGTTCGCGATACTAGGTTGGCTGAGTGATGGACGACGGCTAACTCAGCTCGCCACCTTTTCGTCCGATATGAGACCAATGGCTGGATGAAATCAGGGCCAAAGTCTACTCGTGAAGTCGATAGTGCGGGTTGAAGTCCAAGGGCCAATGGCAAGCCGGCGCGTTGTTGGACCAAGCAATAGTATTCGTTGGTGACACTTATGACTTACGCTCAAGTCGAAGTATCAAGGCAGATGCAGAGTTGGCTCAGAAAAGACGAGAGCGACAAGTGAGGGCTGAAGAGGCCAGACGTGTCCGATAAAGCACGAGGCAACGATTCGGGTGTAAGTGGGTTACCCCGAAATGCGTAACAGGCGTTGTACCGGGACTCGGGAACAGTCTCAAGTCGTCTGAACTTTCGTGCAGGTCGCGTGCAGGTCGATGGTTGACCTTAGCACCCAGAATGATCTTCGTCCAGGGTTTGTGTCAGAAGTTGCGGCAGGACTGTTGGGCTTTTCAGACGTCTAGATGTTCCCACGGCGCGGTATTTGCTTGCGGGTGAACCTTTGGGTTTGCAAGGTTATTAGGACGAACTGGGAAACAATGACGTGCCCAGGTAACAGTCGTCGAGGTGTTGTAGATCAAGGTCGTAGTACGGATACGTAGTACAGGAAATGGTTCGATTCTTTTCCCGTGATCTGTCGAAAACGGGGAAGCAAGCTGTCTGAGGCTGGAGTTGAGATGAGCTGAAGGTCGAAGAGACAGGAACAGCGAAGCGCCGATCGAGTTGAAGACCAATAGTAAGGATTTGTATGTGGTAGCCAAGTGGTGAGGGTGGCGGCTGAATAGTCAAGACCGAGACAAGGTACACAAGGTGAGACCAGCGTAGGTATCTGAATTAATGACGAAGTGGCCACTGAAGGAGAGCTGGGAAAGCTCAAGTAGAAAAGACGGCTTGAGGAAACTGTCAGTTGAGGCTGATGGTACAGAGTATGGACCAAGGCAGTGAGTGAATGGGTGGGCAGCCGATACGATGCGAGAAACACAACAAGAAACGACGGAAGAGGCTGGGGATCGATCACAGGAAAGATTCCTCGAAAATCAAAACCAGAGACCCTTTGGGCCTGGGGGGATGGGCCGTGTTCAAGTACCTCATGGAGTCATGGATTGCATCCAGGGGAGGTGATTTCGGGACCCCTCAAGCACTCGAATTGGGGATCCGTACGGATACCGTCCACACGTCTGGCAGAGCAGAGCTCGAGCACTTTTCGAGTTTGGTTTGGGTCCTGGGCAGGGTGTTTGCGCATCGACGTTGGACTAGGGAGAAAGGGGGAACAAGCTTCAGGCGTGAGTGGCCTGCGCAATGAGATTTTCTCGTCTCCTTCGAGGACCTGCATATCGAGCTCCATCTCGCTGTGGTGTGTTCCCCTGGCACCGGCGTGGATTTTCCTGTCGACCCTTGCCTCTAACCCTGCTCGTCGTTGGTGCTGCCCATGGTGTTGAACCCCACCCCAATGCAAGTCTCTTGCGTACAAATGTAACTCTGCCCATAGTAGTTTGCGTACCTGGCTACGCGTTGTGCTGCGCAGCCGTGTGCTTTGGGCGAGATTTCAGCAAATCATAAATGGTTCTCTCGGCCCTCGCGTGGATACGCTATGAGCTGCGAGGCGTTGCTTGGTGCGTGGGATGGCTTGAGATGGCTTGGGTTGCTCGGGTAGAGTTGTGAGAAACTCGCCCTGTGCAATCTGCAAGGTGCGAATAGTTCCCACCTCGCAGCAGCGCCCTAGTCCGTTAGCCCGTGGACTGGACACGCTAAGTATCCGTATGAGCCTACGAGAGAAAAGATTCAAGACGAAGACGGGGCGGTCGAAGCCATCGAAGTTTGTGGGACTTGTGCGTATGAAGCAGAAGTGCCCGTACCTGAGGCTATTAATTGCATCCCGAGAGCGCCGTAGCGTGTTCTACACGCGATAAGTAATTAGATGCGATTATGAAGCAGGGATGGGCTTCTGTCAGTGTCAGGTCTGGAATTGCGATGGGGGGAGACGGGCGATGCGCGGTCCCGTTGTGGATTGCACGGGATGGACGGAGATGATTCGCACGCCGGTCGACTATTAGATGTCATTTGCGAAGGGAGGTGATGCTGATTAAGACTCTAGACTCCGAGTCACGGCTCACGACACATTGGAGAAACGCCGTCTGTGTCTCGTCAGCAAGGAAGAGAGTTCGACACTTGAGTAGCAACGAACCGGAGGTCCCAACGTCAAGTTTGAAGGGAAGATTCTTGCACATAGCGCG